CCGCTGAGCCCGCACATGGGTGGCTGGCAGCTTCAGGACATCTCGCCAATGCCGGGCAGGTACCACGTGCCAGCAGGTCAGAGCAGTAGCAGAAGCCCCCAAAGCTGGATTCCCAGAAGCGGGTCCAGAAAACAGGCACCCTAACCCCACAGAGCAGTCTGGAAGTGTGCTATGCCAGCCGCAGAGGCTGCCCACGCCACGCCGCCCAGGAGAAGCTGAACCTTCATTGAGGGGCCAGGGGTCCCCTAAGAAAGAGGGGGGTAGCACTCAAGAGACCTTGTAGAAAACAAGAAGCTGATGGGGCCAGCAGGTAGTGTAGTAGCTAAAGTGCTAGGCTTCCATGTGGCTGACCACGGTTCAAATCCCTGATCCAACAGCTTGAAACTCACACGGGTGGCATGTGTGTATATGCCCAAAATTCTGGGAGAATGGAGAAGGGATTGTGGCATGGCCATCCCCCCAGGGGATAATTTCTCACTTTACCTCTCTCTGTCTCTCAGTCTCTGTCTCTCCAGTGAGTGCAAATACCCTATGGTCAAAAAACCTTTAAAGAAAAAGCCAGGCACACAGAGAACACCCATTTGTCGTCTTGCAATTCCTGCCTTGGGTAAGCAGAGGAGACGCTGGGCAATGCCAGGCACTGGGGACTGAGGGAAGCCTCAGGCTCGCGCGTGCCCCCAAAGCCCTAGGTGCTGCTCTGCAATGCATAACCCCAGCAGCACCCCCTGCAGCTCGGTGGGAAGCCAGGGACTGTGGACCCAGCCAGCAGCATACTTGGTGCCCAGCAGGACCACCCTTGGCACCACTGAGCCAGCTCTTCACGGGCTCCATGATGGCGCTGCTGTCACCAGAGGACAGCCGGTCCAGGGCTGCAGGAACCACCTGGCCGAACCCACTCCTCGCCCTGGGCCGTCCAGCCTCGGAGGCCACAGCATTTCCTACTCAGCCTCCCTGACATCTGGAAGCAGTTCCTCCCCTTCCTGGCTGACAGCTGTGTGGGAGGAAGTTCCTCCTGCCCTGGCCGAGCCTTGGGACACTCAGCTGAAGCAGGCTGACACCAGGACTCACTGCACAAGGCAGGGACAGAGGAAGCCAGCACTGCCACTCCCAGAGAAGCCTGTGCTTCCCGCGCAGCACCCCCACTCTGACCTCCGCCCTTCCCTGCAGCAGGAAGTGCTGGGACTGGCTGGGTGCCCTGCAGGGCAGGACGAGGGAGAACTGGATGACCGGGAGGGAGGGGCTCAGGAAGCCTTCTGAGTAACACCACCCTTTTTTTTACACAAAAAAAAGGTTTTTGTTATAGGGTGTGTGTGTTTGCCAGAGAGAAAGAAAATGAGGAAACACCCCCAGGAGGGAAGGCCACACCACAATCCCTTCTCTTCCAGTCTCCTCTCGGGATTTTGGACACACATGTACACATGCCCGGTGTGACTTCCAAGCCACTGGGTATGGGACTCGAACTGCAGTTGGTCATGTGAGAGTCCAGTGCCTCAACCATCATACCACCTGCTGGCCCGATTTACTCTTTTAAAAGCTTACTTCTTTCCTCTATGAGAGTGAGCGAGCAAGCGAGATAGGTTCCCCTGCAATAGGGTCCCGCCTTTGTCCATCCCAGCTTGGCAGCCCTGGGTCGTGGGCACGTGTGCACTGCATTCAGGGAAGTCTCCAGACCTGAACCTGGAACCTTCTTATGTGGGTCAGCCTTGCAGAGCCTTGCAAGCACTACTGCTAAGCTGCTGTCTGGCCTTCCAGTTCATCCATCTTTCCTTGTGGGGAAGCTGAGGCCTTGGGTACTTCTTCAGGCCTCCCTCAGTGAACGGCCAGACCCTGCCCCTCTCCACAAGGTGCTGTGACCCCCACCTCCAAAGCGGCACCTTCTCTCCAGCCCGAGACAAGTCGGTGGCTCCTTGGGGAGAAAGTGGAGGAAGCTCCTGTCTGCAGGTTCAGGATGGTCCCAGCCATGCCACTAAGGCAGACAGGCTGCACTGAGGTCAGTGGCCTGGGGCTCTGGAAGAGGCACAGTCCCTCCCTGAACCTCTTCTTCCTGCCTCAGCTAGCGGGCAGGGGCCCCAGGTCAGGGAACTAGCAGTCAGTGTCCTCTCAGGGCCTCTAGCTGTCCATGGGGGAGATGCGGGTCCTGGGCCGCCACCCCACAGGCTACAATGACCAGGCCCTAAGAGGGCTGCTACAGGGACCAGCAGATGGTATAATGGTTACGTCACTGGACTCACACATAGTCAACCGTGGTTCAAGTCCCAGACCCAGTGGCTTAAAACTCATGCCAGGTGCACATGCATGTGTGCCCAAACTCCTGAGAAAATGGAGAAGGGATTGTGGTGTGGCCATCCTCCCTTGGGGTGATTTCTTGCTTTCTGTCTCTCTGTCTCCCTCCAGCAGGCACATGAGCCCTAGAGAGGAGGACACCCCTCTCTCTGTTGTCAGGACAGACTGAGAAGACACATAAAAAAGGGGGGCTAGTGGGTGGTGTGGTGGTTAAGGACACAGGGCTCCCACATGGCCAACTGTGGTTCAAGTCCCAGACCTGGTAGCTTGCTTTCTTGTTCTCTCTCTGGTCAATTTAAATAAATAAATAAATAAAGCTAAATGAAATAATTTAAAAAAAAAAAAAAAAAAAACAGGAAGGAGTGAATCCACAAAGAATATGAATGGCCAAACAACTTGAAGTGTCACGCACCAGAAGGTCAATAAAACAAGACACCCAGGGCCACCTGCTGGAATGTGGTTAGAATGGCCGAGCCAGACCCCACATGGCTGACAGTGTGTGGTTTAGGTTTTTGCCATCAGTTGCATTCATTGACTGGAGCAAGACAGAGAGAGAGAAAGTGAGAGGAAAAGTGAGATATCCCCCCACTCCCTGCAGGGGGATGGTCACACTGCAATCCCTTCTCCTGGGGTTTTGGGCACACACACACACCCACACACGCCCAGTGTGACTTTCAAGCCACCAGGTCCAGGACTCAAACCGAGGTGGCCAAGTGGGAGTCCAGCGCCTTAACCACTATGCCACCTGATAGCCCTGCATTTTTTTTTTTTTTAAAGAAAAATATCTAACTCAGATTAGCAAGCCTTCAGTGTAACTGGGTAACAGCTCTAGGAATTTATCACAGGAAAACAGAACAGGACACGTAGCCTGGAGTCAGAGCAAGTGCACCCACTGCAGTGTGACCGTGTGTGAAGCATCCCACCACCTGCCGGGATCTGGACGCCCTTACATATGCCATGCTGCTAGGCAGGCACTGCAAATGCAGATCTTTTTTTTTTTTGAGAGGTTTTCGCTATAGGGTGCATGCGCTCGCCAGACAGAGAGAGATAGAGACATAGAGACAGAAAGTAAGAAATCACCCCCGGGGGGATGGTCACGCCGCAATCCCTTCTCCTCCATTTTCCTCTCGGGATCTTGGGCACGCACGCACACGCACCCGGCGTGAGTTTTAAGCCACCGGGTCCGGGACACGAACTGCGGTCAACTACGTGGGAGTCCAGCGATATAGCCATTACACTAACTGCTGGTTCCCGGTGATTTTTGTTTTCTTTTGAGAGTTTTGCTGCGCAGCGCATTTGCTCACTGGAGACAGAGACAGAAAGTGAGAAATCACCCTCCACAGAGGATGGCAACGCTGCAATTCCTTCTCCATTCTCCTCTTAGAATTTTGGGCACACACACCCAACATGAGATTCAAGCTGCCAGGTCTGGGACTCAAACCGTGTGGGAGTCCAGTAACATAACCAGGACGCCATCTGCTGGTCCCTAAAAGCTGGATTTAATGACACAGAAAGTGTTCAAATGTTGAAGTTTTACAGAGTAAATATAGGCGCCAGCCGGTAGCATGATGGTTACGGTGGGTGGGCCCCGTACGGCCAACTGCACAGTCTGAGTCCCGGATCGGGCAGCTTGACAATCACCACTGGGTGCATGTGAGTGCGTGCTCAGGGTCCCAGAAGAGAGGAGGGACTGTGGTGTGGCTACCACCCCTGGGGGGTTTATTTCTCAGCTTTCCTCTTTCTCTCTCTGGCAAGGAAGGGCACATGCCCTACAGAAAACAAACAAAAACAAAAAAATGTAAAAGAAAAATTGGGGCCAGAAGGTGGTGTGGTGGTTAAGGGTGCTGGACTCCCACATGGTTGACCATGGTTTGAGTCCCAGACCTGGCAGCTTGCTTTCTTACCCGCCCCTCCCTGTCCCCTGGTCCCTCTCTGATCAAGTAAAAAAAAAAAAAATTTTTTTTTTTTAAAGAAAAATTACACACACACACATATATATTCACACACACATATAAAATAGTATTTGGACAAGAATCAGATCTTTGGATTTATTTACACATCAGTTCCCAACTACCTGCCAAATCTAAGGACTAAAAATAGTGGCTTTAGGGGAGTAGGTAATAAACCAAAGGAAAACGAAAACAAACCTGCCCATTTACTTTTCCCCAGAAAGCGCAGACCTACGACATCTGACCTTAGGAAGCCCTTTCCCGGGGCCAAAGGGCGCTCCAAGGAGCTTTCAGACACCAAGTCCACTTCCTCGTCCCCAAAGCCGATGGAGTTGGTGCAGCCGTCAGATGATAACCACAGACAGGAAGAAAGGCAGGGGAGCTTCTGTAACCTTAAGGTCTTTGGGAAGTCACTGAACCAATTCGAGTGGAGAAAGCGATGTGGGAAGACCCTATTTCTGGGCCAGCCCAGTGGCCTAGGGGGTCTGGGAACTAGATCCCATATGGATGACTGGCTTTGATTTCTGATTCCTAAGAGCCTGAAAAATACACCAGGCACGTGTGCATGCACATGTGCGTGCCCCAAATCCTGGCGGGATGAAGAAATGGAAGGAAAGGGACCAGTGTGCCAGCCACTGGAGGTGCTTTGTCCCCCCCCTCCCTGTCAAGCAGGTGCATCCTCTAGCAAGACAAGGAAAGATAACCATTTCCTCGGGATGAAATGGAAAATGAAATCCCGTCTGAGACCTGGGGGCACGAATGAACAGGATCCCTGCTTTCAGGCCACCATCCGTCTGGTTTCTGGTTTTGGTTCTGGTTTGCTATAGGGCATGTGCATTCACCAGGGAGAGAGGGAGAAAGAGGAAAATCCCTCCAGGAGGGGAGGGCCATGCCACGACCCCTTCTCCTTTTAGGACTTTGGGCCTGGCTTGATTCTCAAGTGGCAGGGTCTAGGACTGCCTGCTTAGCTGGCCACGTGGGCCCCAGCCACCTTCCCCTCCACCCCGCCTGCTGGGCCCAGGGCACCATCTTAATGTGCCGAGCCCACTGAGCCCCACTGAGCCCCGCCAGCCCCGGCTGCTTTCACACTTCACCTCTTCAAAGGAACTGGTTTATCAAGAGTGCTGGGAGACCAAGCAAGATGGCCTCAGGCCAAGACTAAGCAGGACAGGATGCCCCCCAGGCCCCTTCCTGCGGGTCTGGCCCCTGTGACCACCTGGCCGTGGAGACCTTGGCTGGAATGGACCACTGGGAAGGGCAAGCAGTCGGGTGTCAGGCTAGGCAGAGGGAGGAGGTCTCGGTCTCCCCCACTGATGCCACCTTCTCTGGAAGTCACCTCCTTGCCCCAGGCACAGGGAAACTCAGTTTTTCTACTGGCCCCCTGGGTTCAGAACAATCCACTTTGGATCAGCAGTGTCCACTTCCCTTTTGTAGACACTTTCAGCCGTGCAGAGAGGCCGGAAGGCAGGCACGCGGGCGGGCAGAGGAGCCGACGGTTAATCACAGTCCTCACCCGCCACATGCACAGCACTTCCTCTCTGCTAACACGGTCACAACCCCTGCCAAGAGCTGCCACTCTCACTGGGTTCACAGACACAGGCGCACGGCGGTAGGGCCGTCTGAGGTCACAGGTACTGAAAGCCAGAGCCAGGCTTGCATGGAGATTGGACCCAGCATGGCAGGGTGCCCTGGGTATGGAGTCTGGGGACAGGGGCAGTGAGGGCGACAGGTGGGCACACAGCCCTGGGTATGGAGTCTGGGGACAGGGGCAGTGGGCAGCGGCACGCCTCTCCCAGGTTCATTTGACGGACTCATCGTCCTGGCTGTCACAGCAGCGGCCTCACGTCTCCGAGGGGACAGGGCAGAACCTCTCCACCCGATCTGGTCTCTCCCTCTCACTTTACAGATGAGGACATGGAGGCCTGGAGGTGAAGATCACATAGCCGAGAGTGGCAGGGCCCAGGGAGGTGGGAGTCTGTGATTCGGCCCAGTGTCTTGCAGGGCAGGGCTTGGCCTGAGCACCAGACTGCCCAGGTTGGGGGACAGAGCCAGCTCCTCTGCTCCGCCAGAGTGGCTGGTCTGTGGTAAACAGTGGGGCAGTTCCTCCAGGGAAGGTCTTTGCCACCTCCCTACCCTCCGATCAATCGCCCAGCCGGCTGCAGTGCTCAGCCCGGGCACGGCGCCAAGCTTAGCCACCATCCTGCCCTTGGTGCAGTTGGAAGTTGCCGTGGTCAGAACCCCCTGGCGGGGAGACAGGGTGCTAGCATGGCTGCCCCTGAACCTAAACTTCCCTCCTGGAACTGGGCGGACCCAAGGGTCACTGCGCCCTCAGAGGACCTGAAGGTGGATGTGCGAGCAGCTCCTGGTTCCCTCGAGCTCTCCCTTCCCGGCTTCTCCTTGCCTTTCCCTCTGCTCCCCCTCCTACTGCGCAGGCCACATGGCAGCCACCCTGCCCGCTCCCTCACAGCCTGGTTCCCGCAACTGTGCAGAGGCTGAGGTGGGCTCAGGATGCCCCCAGCCTTCCCTGTGGGGCTTCTTGGTGTCCCGGCATTGCCACTGGAAGTCACCCCCCCATGCCACAACACAGACCTCCCCCCGCTGTAGGGTCTGAGGCCTGCATAGCCAGGCTGGGATCACCACCCACCAACCCCGAGGGCACCAGATGCAACAGCTGCCTTGGCTCGGAGCCTGTCCGTCGTGCTAACCCTCCCCGCCCCGCGCAGATGCAGTGGCAGCCCCAGGTCCCCCCTTCTGCTCCTCACCAAAGGGCTTACCTGAGCGTGTAGGGTGGCGGCGGCGGCAGTGGCGGCTGGGTAGGTGAACGCAGCATGTGAGATGGCAGGGGCGAGCTCTGTGGTGTACAGAGGGTAAGGGGCCCAGGCCTCTGGGGACGCAGGGATCAGAGCAGCCCCCATCAGGTCATCTGCAACGGGAGACAGCAGCCTCCACTGTCAGAACGCCGCTCCCCACTCCCATCAGCCCCCTCCAAACACAGACGGGAATCCAGCTCTAGTGGGCTGCGGCTCCCCATGGAGGACCCCAAGACCAGGCAGTTCATGGTAACGAGGCTTGGCACACAGAGCAGCCTTTCTAGTTCAGGAAGCTCCCAGACAGACCTCCGCCCACGCCAACCAAGAGAAGTCCCAGAAACCTTGGGGAAGTCAGGTCCCCCTGACAGCGCAGGGGCTTGGCCAGGCCCAGAGGCTGCCAGGGAGGAGAATGCCTGAGTCTCAGAAAGGCCTGGAAAGGGCGGGCTGAAAAGGGCGGCTCAGAGCACTCACAGGGGTCCCGGGCAATGAAGTGGGCTCCAAGGGCGGGGTGCGCGTTGGTGGGGTTCGGGGTTGCCATGAGCTTGCTCTTGGCCATCTTCGTGTTGGCTTTGGCAAACTCTAGCCTCAGGGTCTGCGGGTTCTCGGGATCAAAGCGAATACCCTACACAAAGAGGGAAGGAAAGGAGGGGCTCACTCTGCAGCAGCAGCACTGCCACCTGCAGCCGGTACAGAAGGGTCCCAGGAACCAGCTGGGAAGACCTGCCCTGCAGAGGAAATGCTGCCCGGGCCTCGGGATGGCATTTGGCACACAGCGCAGCCGAGGACCCTGTCCTGGCACGGCTGGGAAGTGGGGTTCGCGCGTGGACCCCCTGCTTGGGCAAGGGGTGGAGGAAGGTCTGCAGAGGATGGAACAGGGACTCCGGGGCAAGACTAGTGCTCGCAGACTCACGTTCAGCGCGTTCTTGGCTGCTTCTGCTCCTGCCCGGCTGTCGAAGATCACAAAACCGACAGGCTGGCAGGACAAAGAGAGAAGCCCTCGCATCCGTCCCCACTGACCTCCCCCTCCAAACGGAAAGACCACCCTTAACCGCCAAGCGTGTCTGTCCCGCTAATGAAGAGAGGGGCAGGAAGGGGAAGAAAACGCCCCTTGGCCATGTCCTCCCAGGTCCCGCTGGCGCAGAGGCGCCCCGTACAGCACAAGTCAGAGCTCCCCAATGCCCACCCTCAGGATCGAGGACACGGGCTCTCAGCCACGGCCCCCTTGCGGAAGGAGTTAGGGCTTCACTACCACTTCTAGCATCTCCGGCCATGGCGGCCAGGCAGCGGCTCTGGTGGCCAAGAGCTAAACACCAGGGCCAGGAGCCGAAGGCTCAGACAGCTGGTGAGAGAGGGGCTCCGATGGCCCCCCCCCCC